CCCAATCCGGTTTTCAATCTAATTTCCCTCAGCTCTGTAATTTAAAGCTCTTTGTCAACAGGCCACTGTGGGGAAGCTGTGGACCAAAAGAACCTTGTTATTTTCCATTTTCAAGAATTTGCATCATTAACAAGAACCAAGACATATCATGTAAAGGTACAAGATACCAACGATAAATGTAACTGTACTGTTTGCTTTAAATGTACCAATAAACTTCATGGGAGGTAAAAAAAAAAAACAAGATGCTTTATATGGTATGGTTGTGCTACTGGGGAAGAAGCACACATGGTCCCTATGGAAAAACAACATCACCTCTTGTTCGTAGCTGAGGGTTATAGCATTAACCAGGATGTAAGCCAAATTTTTAATCTACTATAGGTCTAAATAGCGGCCTGGAAAAATGAAAAAACAGGGTGCTCCATAAGACTACGAATACTGTATATTTTCAGGGGAGGAAGTTTGCACATGACTTCTTTGATTTCAGAAACTTTGTGATTTCCTGTCTCCTTTTCTGGTAGGGATTCATGTATAACATCATGAGGTGCTCTAGGGAAAACAGAAACTCTTTGACAGTGGACAACAACTCTTTAATATGACAGCCCTTGCTTTCACTTGCCCTCGAGGGAAAACTTGCATTCCGCCCCATGAGAAAAACTCCAAATATAATGGACTAGACAAAGAAATACTTAGGCACATTGGTTTAGGAAACCCCAGCAGAAACAATGCATCTTTTCAACAGTTGAAGATGTTACAGAGACAGAATGCTTTGTGTGTCAAATCTATCTTTGGCTGTTGGGTGAGAATGCTGTTTGCAGTTAGACACTAGCTTAATTCTGGAGTGTCAAAGAACCATGTTCATTTGCCAAAAATCTTTTGCATAGTCAGTTACAAAAAACTGGTGATAGCATTAGAAGCATTTTTTTTTGGACCGGGGATTGAACTTGGGTCCTTGTGCTTGCAAGGCAGGCAGCAGAACCACTGAGCTAAATCCCCGGCCCCAGAGCACTTTTTTTTTTTTTCAATTTAAAGTTCATTTAATATTGAATCCTGTGTAGAAAAAAGTTACAAATACCATGATTGAAAGTTTCAAATATACTGAACATAAGTTTCCTGTTTGATATTTACAGCCATAGTAATGAATTATCTGAACATCTGTAGTAACACAGGGAATTTCATATCTATTTCTAATACAAATACAGGTACACTGAGTGTGAATTTTTAAAAATGGCTTGTTTAAGCAAGCTTATAACATGGATCAAAGAAAGACATAAAAACAAATATCTCTGAGTTAGGAAGAAAAATGCTCATTACACACTGATATAAAAGACTTTTAGCATAGATAAGAATGACTATTACATCATTAACATTTTTTTCTTTTGTAAGAAATTGTATTAGTATTAATAGCAATTAATCTTTTGAATTGATTAATCTATGTAATGTAGTTGTAAATATGATCTATATTTCAAAAAAAGATAATGGTACATGCTAATGGTGATTGTCTCACTAAAATTACATGGACATGATCATTCAGATATCAATGGGAAGAGCGATTGTTCAATTATTACTAGATTTACTCAGAAAAACTGATTTTTTATGATTAGTGACTATTTTCCTGCTGTATGTAAACATCATAAGATAACAGAAAATCTTTACAGCAACTTCATCATTATGATTAAGACATTCAATGAGGAAAAAATAATTCATGTAACACCAAGATACAATAAAGTGAACACTTTTAATATAGTAGTTTTTCTTCTTCCTCTTTTTTTTGGGGGGCATATCAGGGACTGAACTCGGGTCTTTGCGTTTGGGAGGCAGGCATGGTACCACTGAGCTAAATCCCTGGCCCTTAACATAGTAGTTTTTAAAAAGCAGCTTACCCCAGAATATTCCTCACTCCTAATCACTCACCAAGCCAGAACCAAGGGATAGATAGGACTTTTTAAAAAATGGTACTGGAGATTGAACCCAGGGACTTTAATCTGAGCTGCATCCTAGCTGTCCCCTCTCTTTTAAAGATATTTTTTGAGACAGGGTCTTGCTAAGTTTTTAAATTGCTTAGTCTGGGCTCAAATTTACAGTCCTGCTGCCTTAGGCTCACAGTGTGTTGGGATCACAGATGAGGGCCACCACAACCCTAGCATATTTTCAGTTGTCTCCCCTACAGGAGTTGATTTCTTTTACTGAGCCCCGTTGCTATGTTTGCTTTGATGGCATTTAATTCCTCCTGGGTTGGCAGAAAGCTTTTCTGAAATGTCAGGCTGGTCTTACCCACCTGTTCTCCATGCAAGTGATTCTTCCAAAATGTTAAAAAATATATATGTAATACCTCCCTGCCATTTTTCAAAGCAGAATCAACAAACTACTGAATCAAAAGAGAGTGGCACATAGCAGGTAAAAGTGCTAAAGCTGGCTGTGAGATGAAGTCACACATTGTTTTCTGACACCCTCTCCCCACTCAGGGCTCCCCTATAGAGAAGACTGGAGATAATAACCAGCTCTTTAAATGATAAAATCTGCATCAGTCCTCTCATTTCATGCCTAATAAAAAATCTTAGTTTTACCTGGCTAAGGTTTTTTTTTTTCCCCCACCATGTTTTGTTTTAAAACAACGTCATTTACCTCCTATTGAAACCAATCAACCAAAACAAAAGTTTTTAAATGAAAGTGAAATGTACTTTAGTATGATCATTTCTTTGCCTTTGGGTGGGAGGAAGGGCTCACTAAATTTTTATTGTTTAAAAAAATCATAAAGATGGCTAAGCAAAATCACTTACAGATGGGGTACATTCTGAGTAATGCATGGTGAGGCTCAATCATCTTGGAGGGCACTTACATAAAGTGAGATCGCTATCACATCACTAGGCCATGTAATCTTATGGGACCACCTCTAAGTGCATGCTCTCTGCTGTCTGAAATGTCCTTATGCATGGCATGGAAGTATGTGAATGTCACCATTAAGCTGAGCCTTGTAACTACGCAGACCTGCAAGCTTCCGTGACTGGCCCAGTGAGAAGGTGGGCATATTAGTGACTGCGTGATAAGTCTGTCCCTTGGTGGTGTGAGGGGACTGACCGTCAGAAACCAGCCTAATCCATGCAGAGTTACTGAAGCAAATACACACAGAGGGAGCTCAGTAGAGCAGCACTGTTGAGGATACAGTGGGGCTTTCAAATGAATGGCTCTGCCTGCCAGTCACACACCAACTGACTGCATCACATCAACTGTCACTCTCCTCTAATTTAGAAATCTGTTCATGGCAATGGGCTGCAGCTTTGTTCTTTGTTCTGTAAAATTCTCTAAATAAAATCAGAGTAGAACCACTACTCCTTAGAGGGAGACCACACCGAGCAGATATTCTAAGCTTCCATGCCTTACTATATGGGCACAGATACTTTCCATGGTTTGTTTTGTGGGGACAAATCACATTTTTTCAATAAGATTGATTTCTTTAAATTCACAAAATATCTTTGTTTGGAAATGCTCATTCTTCTACACAGCAATCTTGTGGGTTCATTTAATCAATGCCCTAAAATTTCCTCTGCCAGCCCGGACTGGAAAAAGAATTGAAAGCATATTGTATTTGTCCTTTCTCCTTAAAGAAAGAAAAGATGTATCTGGGAACATTAAGCCCACTCCTGTAAGACAGGGCCAGCTTGGTCAGCTCCTATACTCATGGTCATCCTGGATACTTTGGGGTATTAGCAAACTGATTATCAGGTGAAACTGCTGGACAGCATGAATCCAGACTTGGGGAGGCCCAGACATTTGTGTTCATTTCTTCATAGTTAGCCAGAGAGAGCAGCATGTCTGCAGCCTGCCCCTAAAATATGTACTTTGTGGGCAGTAAAACAATGGAAATCCCTGACCCTTGCTCTTTTCTTCCTACTTCTGGTTTGGTCCTCCAGCAACATAAGCATGTTCCCACAAGCACTGGAGGACAGATTGGTGCAAACACCAACTCTACTCTGCACAAGCCTTGCCAGCAGTGAAACTGAGCGTAAGCAATGACAATGTCATTGTCGGTTGAGACCTACAGATGTGTACGCTGACCTGGATTTGGAGAGAGGCCATGGGAGTCCTCAGTGGTGGTGCTTTGAGAAGGAAACTCAAGAGTCCTTCCTGGGAGCCTAGAGAATGGATCTGAAAGGGGGGCTGGTTCTACACAATTTGGTGTTTCAGTTGGCAAAGTGGAACACATTCAGCCAGGAAGTCCTACTACAGTAGAAGTGCCCTAAAGCTCCAGGTTTGGGGCAGCTCCTTGGTGGGGCCTAAGGTTGTGGTGACCCTAGCATGAGGTCTTTGGGGTAGGCCTGGAGGTCCTGGGATTGCACAGTCTTGGATCACAGGATGGCTGAGCTCTTTCTGTTCTACACCCAATACAGAGGATTGTATGATCCAGTTTGTCATTATTGTTGGTCCAATTTCAGACACTGGACAAATATATTATAAAAGAAAATGTACCAAATATTCAAATGAGCAGAAAGGCCTATAATCTCAGGCTTTCTAGTTCAAAGAATGAACAATGTGAGATTCTGGTTCATAATCTAATTAAAAGTTGTTTATCTTTCACAGGTGACAAATTACCAATGAGGCAATTAATCCTCTGTTAACATCAAACCTATAATCCACATAATCACTGGATTATGAATGAATGAATCAAAACAGCTCTGATTTTCCATTGGCCATAAACAGTACACATAATTACTGGATATAATTAACACATAACCTATTATGAAAAAGTGGACAAGCTGGGGAAGCCAGAGTTTAACTGAAATTTTTCATAATACTTAAAAATTTCCAATGCCATTTTTGTGTACTGGACAACAACTTCCAGGTGCCTAGATTTGTTGGCCTCCTGATAAGTTTTAATGGGAGCAGGTGACAACAACTTTTTCTGGAGTTCACTATCACAAGACTTGTAAAATTCACTCACTCATACATGTGCAGGCACAGTTGACACCAGACACAGAGACACACTCATAGTTTGCAGTACTGACCTGCCCTTTCATGTCTGGAGCAATGGGGATGGTGGGCCAGATGGTTGAGTAGACACCAAAAAACACAAGCCAGATCAGCATGCTTCCCCACACGGCCAGGTGACTGAACTGCAGAGGAAACAGATACTTGATCAGGGCCCAGATCCACCTAATCTCTACCTGCTCAGAATCCCCACATCCAAGCTGGGGAAAGACTTCTTGATGGAAAGATTTCAGCCTCTATTTATCACAGAATTCTGTCTTTCTAATTATATTGCCTCTAAATTTTTGATGATGAATTTGAGTTCTTAGTGGCCTCAGACTATTCTGAAGGTGAAAGTTCTCTGTGTCACAGCTGACCTTCCTTCAAGATCCATGTTCTACTTCCAGAAGGCCCTGCTCAGCTCCCTGAAGGTTTGTTCCACCAACAAATGTTTGTGTAAGGTTTGTGTAAGGAAAGAGTACATGGATCTAGTGAGTGAGTGGTAGAACAGACAATGAACAAGATGCTTATATTTATCACTTGGAAATTTCTATTGTTCTGTTCATTTGGCAAAGTGCCTTTTTAAAAAATTGAAATGGATATCTCTCTTTTTAAGTTTTAAAAAATGTTATTAAATATATGTTAAAATTGATATTATAATTGTACATATGAATAGAGTACAGTATGAATATTCCAGTACATGTGTACATTGTATAATGATCAGATCAGGGTATTAGCCATATTCATTATCACAAATACTTACAATGGACCTTTGACTTACAAACGCATTTGCAAGGGCTGGTTATAAGTCAAGAAGGTCAATGGAAGACTCAGGCTCCTCTACACAGCCTTCAAAGTCTCTCTCCTGTACACAGGCAGATCTCAGTGTCCTCACAGAAAACTGCTCCAGGGTTTCTCAATTAAGACCACACAGGAAAGTATGTTGTAAAGTTCTTTCCAGACCTCTTTAAGGGTTAAACCTCTATCTGAGACCATCTGGAAGCACAATTGGCTGGCATTTGGGTCATAACTCAAGACTTGTTTGTAAGTTAAAACTAAAATTCCGGTCATAACCCGAGTTGTTTGTCTGTCAGGCCAGTTATAACTCGAGGGTCCAGCATGATTTGTGTTGAGGCCATTCAAAAGTTTTCTTCCAGTCACTTTGAAATATACAACTAATCATTGCTAAACATAGTTAAGTACTTGCTATAGAAAGACAGAAATTATTCCTCCTATCCAACTGCACTTCTACACACTGACCATCCACTCCCTTTCCTTCTCCTTCCCCTACTCTACCCAGGCTCTGGCAACTGCTATTCTGCTCTCTACTTCTATCAGATCAATTTGGATATCATATTTTTATGCCTTCATAAGTATCTACTGAATTGTTATTTTGCTCCTTTGTGTTGTTAATGCAATAATCCTTGAGTTCTTCTTTTCTTTTATCAATTCATCACAATCCAATGCATTAGCAAGTGCTACTTTTTAAAAATATCTTCAAAAAATACTTCCAGAATTTATCAACAACTCGTTAACTTCTCCTTCAATATTCCAGGCTAAAACACCATCATCTTTCACTTGCAATAATTGCCACTGATCTTAAACAAATTCCCTGATTCCACACCGACTGCTCACAACCACCCATCTTCTTAGTAAAGCACGAGGCAAGTCCATGAAAAACATTCAGGACTTGACACTCTGAGAGACAAATACAAAGCATGTGCTACATCCTTCGCACCTTGGAAATGATCAAAACACCTAACATAGGGGACAGATAAAATAAAGGTGAAATATCTATGAAACTTAATATTCTTTAATCCTGAACAATTTTTTTAAAGAAGTACACTTTAAGGAGTGGAAAATGTTTCTGATAACATTTTTAGGGAAAAGAGAGTACAAAACTATTCTATAATGCATCAACTTTTTTAAAAAAGTACACATATGTACACACAGCAAAGGCTTAATGTGTCTTAGTAGTAAAATTATATGAAAATACAAAATTTCTTTCTTTTCCTTCTGTATTTTCCACAAACACATATAAGTGTGTGGGTGTATGTGCATAACAACAATAATATACCCTTGAAATCAGGAGATTCTCACTAGCTTTGAGCTATACTAGGTGCCAAGGGAGACAACATGAAATGCTGGATTATAAATTTGTTCTAATAAAGGTCAAACCACAATTTTTACAAAAAAAACTTTAAAATAAAGCAGTGAGATATTTTTTATTGTTTTGCCAAGGCTTAAAAAGAAATAATAGCTTAAAAATATCCATACTGGAAAGGGAAGCAATTCCAAAGAAAACTCACTTTAGTCCAAGCTGTAGTCTCCAAACCAGCTTTCAGACAAACTGTAACCACAACATACTGTGAAAAGAAAGAGGAGTTTGGAAAAAAAGATATCATCCTTAGTGCATTCATTTCACTTTGCAAAAGCCCTGGGTCTCTTCTTCTAAGCTGGCTCCTTCATGGCCACTCTGCTTTCAAAGAAGTAGCAAAAATGATCAAGACTTAATAGATACACAGATCAATAACCCAACCTGAGTGTAAATGCGATGTATTGAAAACATAAACTAAAAAAGCAAGCAAACAAACAAAAAAACCCATATGAAAACAGTGTCATTTCTGTAGCTACTTTTCTCAGGCTTATTTTTAGGGAATGAACAGGTAGGTTTTTCTCTAGAAAAGCCCATTCTTGGTCAATTTTGGAGAAACCACTTTCCTAAGTGCTCTTCACTTTTACCAGTGGATAGAAGTGGTCATTTTAAGAATGAGGAAATCTGCTAGCCAGCTGTCCACTAAAGTGGACTGTGCATAATCTCTGATAAACAATGATGGGAGCATTGTACACCCACTCTGAACTTTAAAGAATTTATAACATGCAAAGATTTAAAATAATTATAATGAGAAAGACCTTACATAGAAGTATTGGAAAAGTATAACCCTCACATCTGTCACTTAACAACGGCTCAACACAAAGAGATAAACTTACCGTGTAAACAATATTTCCAACAAATAAATAGTCTGTAGCATGACCACTGGACAAGGGAGCATCTGAAAAACAAAGAGATTACTATTAACTTCCAAGGGGCTGAGATACCAATCGCTTCTATTCAGAGTACAAAAGTGGAACCTTGGAAACATCTGTCAAAATGGGAAGCATTTCAAAATTCCATCTTGTGTGATTCTAAAGATTCTTTCTCTTTGTAACTCTGCATTTTTTCATTTTACATTCTCTGGCAGGGTTGTGGGGGAGAAAGGAACACTTCTCCATTGTTAGTGGGAATGCAGACTAGTGCAATCAATGTGGGAATCAATATGGAGATACCTCAAACAACTAGGATTAGAGGTCCCATTTGACCCGGCTATCCCTCTGCTGGGTATCTTCCCAAAAGAATTAAAATAATCATACCACAGTGATATATGCTCACCCATGTTTATAGTGGTACAGTTTGCAATAGCTAAATCTTGGAGACAGCCAATTGCCCAGCAATTGGAGACTGGTTAAAGAAGATGTGGGTTTAAAAAAATGGAGTACTAGTCAGCCATAAGGAATGAGAATAGAGACATTTATAGCTAAATGGATGCACATTGAGGTCATACTCTTTTTTTTTTTTTTTGGTACGGGGGGATTGAACTTGGGGCCTTCTGCTTGCAAGGCAGGCAGTGGAACCACTGAGCTAAATCCCCAGCCCTGAGGTCATACTCTTAAGTGAAATAAATAGGACACATTTGTAAATACCGAAGAGTTTCTCTAGTGTGACAAACTAAAAGTGTAAATAAGGATCAAAATGTAATTGATAATGTGAAATAGGAAGAAAAGGTCTAAAGGGATATGGGAAGTGGGAGGGATAGGGAAAGGAAAGAAAGGAAAAATATGAGAAAAGGGAACAATGGAAAAAAAGCCTATGTAGATAGGGAGGGGTGGAGGAGTTGAAGGGAGGGCAGGGGAATGGGAAAAAAATAAGAACCAAAATACATCATGTAAAGGTACAAGTTCCCAATGATGAGTGTAACTTTATTGTATACTTAAAATGTAACAATAAACTTAATAAAAAAGGCAGAAATAAGAACATATTAATCTGCTTTAATTAAGTGCTTTAATCAAGTATTCATATTTAATTTTTGCTAAACTGCAATCATGCATCAATCAAAGAAAATAGCTACATGAACTCAAACTCAATTTATAATGATTGAACTGTATTTTGGGGGGCATTTACTATTCCTATTCACTATTCTTATTTTCAGCTACATGAACTTTTGGGGTCTACATACAGGGAGAATACAGGGAATACAGTGAGAGATGTTTAGAAACATAACTGGGACATCGAAGCTTCAGTAGCCATGTTTTTTCTTTCTTTACTAAGATGGCTGTTATAAGGTATATAATATCTACTAAAGCAGAACTCAACCAGAAATGTCTAATTCATTCAGCTATACCTGTTCTGAGAAGTCTGGATCTTATCCTGAGAGGTGAAAGCCTATCTGAGAATCAGAAAGGGTTTCCTTGGGTGACACTGCCAACCTCCTTTTAGTCTCCTTTCGAATACAGATCAGTGGCTCACAGCCTGGGTATAAAGATGATTCCTTGATACTTATGATTATAGATTCTGGGAGGCACAGTAAGTAAGTATAAAAAAGATGGCCACTAAACAAACTGTTTTGGCTGGAAAGGGAAGAGAGTCATGAGGCAATTGACAACAACAAGTTCCAGCTTGTCTCTGAGGTACCAAAGAAACAGCAAGTACTAAACAAAGTACAAGTACCAGGACAGAATTTTCCTGGAAAAGTGGATCAACTATCAAATTTAATTATCAAAGCAGTGGAGTACCAAGGTATGATTATATTGGGATTTTTGTGTTTGACTTTTCAATCCAGTAGCTGCTATCCACATATATCTGGGCTTATTGATTTGCTCATCTAGTTGTTGAAGAATTCCAACATGTGTTAAATAATCAAGAGCTGTTAATTTTTCCTAAAACAGTGTAAGTGAACTTATACATAGAATATGGTCATTGTGGGTCCCTGGGTGTAGTACTGGGGCTCATTATTTTCTGTGATATAAATCTGTGAATAAATGAAGAATAAATGGCAAAATGGCATCAGGGCTGCCCTAAACTGAGACATTTCTATAGGGTCATGTAAGTGTTACACCAAAAGAAAAAGAGAAATATGAAAAGGGAAAAAGAGAGATATGACCATGGATTTAAGAAGGACTGATCTCAAAGCTTAGGGGAGAAATGATGAAATGATATGAGAATTAGGTCAACTGCAGTAAAAGAGAAAGAAGAGGAAAAACAAAAGGCTAAATTAATCTCAAGAAGATAACAAACTCATGTACAAGTTGAACATCCCTAATCTAAAAATACAAAATCTAAAATGCTCCAAACACTAAATGGAACATTTCAATTTTGGATTGCATATGTTCAACTAGCAAAGTTTCCAAATTACAAAAAAACTCCAAAATCTGAAACACTTCTGGCCCCAAGCATTTTGGATATGGGATACTCAACTTGTAATAGTAAATAGCTATTCAAAGCTGTTGAGATTTGCTTTTTAGTAGCTGGCCCTCAGTTTGTTTTAACAGTAAATGCAACACTTTTAAAGACATCCTCAAGAAAGAAACATTTGAGGTCAGACAGGACCATTTCTTTGATTTTAACAGATTACAGTTTTGAAGGGATTAATGCTACCTTTTTATGTACTCAACCAAGATTTCCTAAAAGTCAACTATGAGCAAGGTGTTATTATAGGATCTGAGGAGAGAAGTTGTCTATCTTCATGAAATTTGCATTATAGTGAGGGAAACAGGACACAAAAACACAAACAAATTGATATACAATACAATATCAAGTGTGATAAGTGCTATGAAGAAATGGAAGGCAGACTAATAGAATATAGAGTGAAAGAGGCTATTGTTTTATATAGGGAGCTGAGATCTAAGTAAGTCTGAGTGGTGTGAAGAAGTGAGTTAAATAACTATCAAGAGCATGAATGATCCAGGCAGAGAGAAGGAAAGCTGCTAAGTGTCAGGATATAGACAGAACTTGATGCACTCAAAGATCATCACGAAGGCAGTCTGGCTGGAGATAGTAAGGAAAGGAAGAGTACTCAGACAATGAGGAGGGGTAAATTTACAGTTGTGTTAATTGTGACTGGAAGCCACAGTAGGATTATAGGCTGGGAATGAAATGGTTCAAGATAAACTCTTATAAGAATAGTGCAGTTTTTATGGGAGAATAGATTATAGGGTCTGGAGCAGAGGTCATTGAGTGCCATGAATGGAATAATCACAAATGCAATGCCAGCTTGGAACTGATGGTAGTAATCCATCAAAGGGACTGATAATGGTGGTCTTGGAGCTTTATAGTCTGGGGTGGTTGCCCAAGGTGAATTTAAAGTGATACCTCAGCTCCTGAATTTAATTAATTCCACAATTTCAGAAAAGATGAGCCACATTCATGTTCACATGAGAAAGATGACTGTGTTCATGTTTATCATCTGGTGCAGAGTTTGAAAACAAAAACAAAATTTTGTCAAATAGTTCTGTTTTCTCAAACATTTTTGTGAACCAAGGCATCATTACATTGTTTATATTTAATTATTTAAAATAAAATATAATGCATATCAGCTTTTGACAGGAGCTGGGGAAGGAGGGCGAATGAAGAATTACTGCTTAATGAGTAGAGTTTCAGTTTGAGATATGAAAAACTTGGCAGTGATGTTATACTTGGCGGTGATGTTGATGTCATCAATGTAACTAATGTCTCTGAAGCGTACATGTAAAACAGTAAAAATGGCAAAGTTTGTTTTATGCATATTACCATAATAGAAAATTAACAAAAGTGGATCACAGAACCAAAACTATACAACTCTTAGGATAAAACATAGCAGTAAACCTTTCTGGCTTTGATTTAGCAATGCTTTCCAAGACTAAAAGCACAGTTGATAAAAGAATAAGACTTCATCAAAATTAGAAACTTTTGCGCTTCAAATGACACCTTCAAGAAGATGAAGGATGGGCAAAATATTTACAAAATATATATTTGATAAGGAACTTATTATATCCAGGATAAAGAACTCTTAAGACCATAAAAACCTACTCAAATTAAAAATGAGGAAAGTATCTGAATAAACAATTTTGAAAGGAAGATATACACATAATCAGTAAGTGCATGAACAGAAGCTAAACATCACTAAGCACCAAGGGAATACAAATTCAAAAGTACAATGAGTTGATGAAGATGTGGAAAACTGAAACTTCCATACATTGATGATAGGAAAGTAAAAGTTTGTAGACAAGCAGATACTTTGGAAAATTACCATTTATTTCTGCAAAAGAGTATGCATATTTATTGTGACTCGGCTATTCCCAGACCTAGGTATATACACAAGAAAAGTGAGACTAAATAAAATAGACAAAAACATGTACTCAAATGTTCATAGCAGCATTATTCATAATTACTCATGCTCTTCATAGCCTAAAATAATGAATAGCATTATTCATTGTTTACAATAGCTTATTCATAACCCAAATGTCTATCAACTGGTGAATGAGCAAATAAATATCCATCAGTTGGTGAATGGTATATAATACAATAGCAAACAGTTAAGTAATACAAAGGAATGAGGTATTGGTGCCTGCAATAACATGGAAGACTTTTGAGAACCTTATGCAAAATAAAAGAACCCAGATATAACAGAACATGTATCATAATTATTTATGTAAAATATCCAGAATTGGCAAATCTATAGAGACTGAATGCAACTCAGTGGTTGTTCAGGGACTGGGGGATGTTCAGAGGAAATGAGAAGTGATAGATTTTGGATGTGATGAAAATGTTTTAAAATTAATTATGATAAGGGCAATACAACTCTGTAAGTATATTCAAAACCATAGAATTGTACTTTAAATAGGAGAGTGATAAGGTTATATAAATTATATCTCAAAAAGATCTTATAGAGAAATTTCTGTTCTTCAGTCATACTAGCCACATTGCAAATGTTCAATAGCCACACACAGCTAGTGGCCACTAGATGGGATAGCACATGCA